TAATAGAACACAGAATGCACATCATGAATATCAATTCAATTTTAAAAAATTATTTACGTTTGATCTACTGATCTACTAACAACCTAAAGCCATTGACTCATTGACTCAGTAATATTTAATGTTTAAATGTATCCGTCGTAATGTTTCAGTGCTCTAATGTACAGGTCACCCTTAAATTTACAGCAGCACTAACAGTATACTCAGTGAAAATAATTAAGTTGAATTAAGTGGTTTATTTTACAGATCTGTGTAATAAATCAAAAGACCAACAATTTTCTGCAGCATTAATCTCTTATTTTCTTTGCAACAGTGTTGCAAAGAAAATTAAAATGATTAAAAAAATGATCAAAATACTAAATGTCATGGTTCAAGCCAATGAACCCAAATAGATGCTAAAGGAAATTTAGCTAAGGGGAATAAGGCCTCAGTCTGTGAATCGCCACTTTACCGCGGTGGCGCTTGTGTTCCCCAGTGAACCCGGGAACTATGTTGTTGGGGGGCTTTTGCTTTCCCCCCCTTGTAGGGTCTCCCAAGGCAGTTTGATCCTGGTTGAGGGGCCAGAAAACAAGCGATTTAATCTACCCCTATAAAAAAAGGGAAAAGTGAGGAATCAGTGTACCCTGCCCAGAATAGGATTACTGAGGCCCTCCCTGGAGCTGGGCCTGGGAAGGGAGGCCTTCGCCCACAGAGCCAGGCACAGTGCTCAGGCTCTGGAACCTTCTCCTAAAGAACCCAGCGAGGAAACATGTGTTTTTGTTTCTCTGTCTCATCACTGCCTGGGCGGAGCTCACCTCGGGCTCCCTGCTTTGGTGCACACACCTGCAACTAATCCCTCACCTGTGGCTCATCACCCTTTCTCTGGCCACTTCTTAAGGCCATGGCTCTGAGCTTCTCGTCGCTGGACTATTGAGTAAAACACGTCAGTGTAAATCCCGGCTTCGTGACTTTCTGAGTTTCTTCGTGCTTTTCTGGTTGTGATCATCTCATCTCTTTGGACCTGTCCTGTAACCCCTGTATCTTGGAAATCTAAGCCTGAGTGTTTGGCAGTTTGGCATGTATAGGCAGTGAGAAGTGGAATTTCCCTGAGTGGAGCAGGAAGTGGAGCGTGGGGAACAGTGATCGAGGTGCAAGTGAGAAGAACCTGTTTGTTTTCTCTGGACTGTCCCATGAATCCCTCGACCCCCCCCC